CTACCCCACGGAGATGCATACTTTAAGGAGTTTTATACTTGTTTTCCGAGACCACCAGTAAGTAAGTTATGAGATGTATTCAATGAAATTGAATGGAGACTTCAACTCCATTCAGCTAATTGTGAGAAAATACAAATACTAGTTTTTCATCACTCTAAATGAAATAGGGCGAATACATCTCTTATATACTTGGCCTAGTTCTATCCTGGTCGCTGAGTTCTTCACTCTGAGGACCTTCTCAGCAAAGAAAATGATCCGTTCAGTTAATAGACTACGGCTAACGGACGACTGAGTATTTGAGCTAGAGACTAGAATGAGGTTCATTTGTAGAGAAAAAGGCATCTTGTCCCTCAATTTCAAAAGTCTCGTTTGGTTTCCCTCTCCCACAAGTGTCGATTGCTCATAACCGGGCTATATACATTTGTAACGTCACAAGTTGGTGATAGCTGGCGCGATGCTCACCATATCAGCACTTCACCACTGCATATCTCGTTGAGAACAGTTTGCTCTTGAACCTTCAAGAGTCTAGCTTAAATGCTACTGAGGCTTCTGATTTAACCCATCTTGAAGAGAACTTCTTCTACACCTCAAATCAGACAGGATGAAATTTATTTGAAAACCAAATGGGTCGCTATGACGCCCCAGGCGACATTCAATTGTATAGCTCCTGGGAAAAAGAGCCGTATTTATATTTTTCACAACTTAGTCGTATTTATCCTAGAAGATCCTGTGGTTCGATGTTCATTTAGGGTGTGACCTCACGCAGTGTTTTAGAGATGCGGGGCCTAGTCTTCTTCACTAATTTGAAGCAAATTTGTTGTTATTTTCAAGGTTCAGACTGTTAGAATGGATGTATCTTAAGGAAGAAACTTGAACTATTTACTATTAATGTGCTGTCCATTCAGTATAAAAAAATGAGTTTAAGGGATTCATAAAACGGCCGCTTCAAAAGCATTGTAGTTGTAGAGACTGAGTTGGGTCATAGAATCACCAGCTAACAGCTGTACAAATGTATCCGGATCTTTAGACTGGGTAAATAGAGCACTCCCTCATTTGGTTTGTGGTGAGGTCAACTTATAAATCTCTTCCGACAAATGTTACATACTAAACGCAAGGTTTAATGACAAGTTGGTATTAATGTCAAAGGCGCTTGTAGCCTGTTTCCGAGTTGTTCTCAAGACCATTAAAGTATGAGTTGTGGTAGTCCCGAAAACCTACTCAAAACGAACTTTGAATGTAGTCTGTCGTTTTTAGTAATATGCTGTAGATAAATGGTTCAGTTCTGTGTTTAGTTAATTAACACTTAAGACTATAGATTTACCCATTCATTGTGTCCTTAGGAGGTTGTATGGGACACTATACGGCCTATAATGTAGCCATAGATACCGGCACTTGTGGCGGGATAATTAGAGTTATTATTTTATTGTTATATTTTCGTGTGTTTTCTCTACAGCGTTCTACATTTCATTATTTTGTTAGAATCGGTGCTATTATACGTCCTTTGGGATGTGTCATGTCTCAGCTCTTGGCTTACTTGTTATTGCCAATTCTAGGTAGCTCTCGCTTCCTAATTCATCGCAACATTAATGTGGATTCTCCACTTACACACTATGGCTTAGTCATCGGAGATCGCAATTCCTGCAAGTTAAACAATGTAGAACTCGAAATTTTAACTCAACTGTATGCACCCGTTACCTACAAAACACTCGAACTCAGACCATTTTATAAGTGTACTAACTTTAATCAGTCATTTTAGTGCTCTTATTGGCGATGAAGTAAAGAGCAGGTCTCAGTTCAGCATTGAAATTCTGTTCACTGTATAAACCAGTCGAAAATGGTACACATCGACAGCAATCCGGCGAAAGGGGAGGTGGGAAGCAAAACTGCTACTAACCACTAACCGAGGTAGATGAGCAACTTGGCTGTAGGAATTCAGCGAGGGACATGTATATTGTTTTCGATATTCGTAGGTTTGGAAATTAGCAGTAATTGTTGCGTAGATATTAGTCAATCTAGGCCACTTGAAGTGATTTAGTGAATAATATTTGTCTTTTCTCAAAATCAGATGAGTAGACTGTGGAGTGGAATGCCAAAGTCACCATGTTACTCTTAACTTTGCATCGAATCTCGTTGAGGATGCGAATGAGACCTCGGCCAGTTTGAAACTGCAGTCTATTCTGAATGAGCAAACCTTTGGGGATTTCAATTTCATTGTGAAGCCGATCCATGTACTTGTTGCAAAACTCCCCTATCCCTCTTTGAATCATATTAACCGACCCAGGCTGATTAAATTCCTCATTGTTAGGGGGCATTTCATTTCATATAAGGGTGTCATGAAGAAGAGATTCGTAGGTCGATCTCACCAGAAAAGGATGGATGAATCTTGTTGTAATGCAGCCGTTTGGCTTCTATACGACGTTTAGGTTGACGCAGCCCGCGAGACCTATCTCGTTTCGGGTGAAAACGGGCTGCGTTTTCGTTCATCATACGATGAACATCCTCAGAGCTGAAACTCATTATTGTAAAAGTATCAAGTTATTTTTCGATTGGTATAGCAGATATACGTTTGCTTCATCAACAATTCCACCAAATGAATGTGATATGGCAAAAAGGCCTGGCCTTCCTTGAAAATTCACATTTGCCCTGTGACCCAAAAGGGGCTCGTGGCAGTGTAACCGAGTGGTTAGTGTGTCAAGCTCACATCTTGCACTGTCGCGGTTCGAATCCCGCTGAGGCTGTTGATAAGACCGAGGCGAGGTCAAAACTGCAGTCCACTTCTGTCTGGATGAGAACAACTTTTGGGAAA